TTACTAACTGTCACTAGAAAATTGCCATGGTGATACCAGCCATCTTGATTGCCATTTTATTTAAAAATCGCTTTTTATTCAAAATCTGAGATAGATAGGTATAGGAAACTCTAATATAGTTTGAAAGAGCATTTGAATCTACTTCAATTTATTTAAAAAAAATGCAGGGTGTTGCATTTGAAATAACAAAGTTTTTATGTAAAATAAATCCTTAAAATAGGTCACTAATTTTTGGTACCCCTGTATAAATTTAAGGAAACAATAACATTTTTCACTAAAGTTTATTTCTTTACCTTTAAACTCAGCACAAGAATTAATTCTGAAAAGTAATGTACAGGGTGTTGATAAAAAAATTCTCTTGTAGCATGCATATTTAAATATCTTTAAATATCTCAAAAACCAATGATTTTAAACATATTTAACCCTTATAATAAATGCCTTTTTTTGGGCCCAAGAATCGAAAAATGAAATAAAATACCGGGTGTTCCATAAGAAAAAATATAACTTTGGTATGGATCTTAGTTCTGAGACACCCTGTATATTTCAAAATAATTTTAAATTGTGCACATTGCTTCCCCGCATATACCCATAAAATGTTTTGTTTCTACATCTTTCCATTTTCGTATAATCAGCCGATGCGAATGAGGTGCGCCACCCAGTATAATTTTGACCATATTTTTTACAAGTATTATGTAATATATGAATTTTCTAGGGTAGAATGTTTAAAGAATTCTTTTATTCATTAAGTTTTAAGTTATATTGTTTTCTTGATCGGTTGACTCTAAAGAATTACAAACAACAACAAATTAATACCTACATGATATATTTAGTTTGTCAGAAGTCGTCTAGTAATTTTGCAAAAACAGTTTTCATTAAAAGAAAAAAGTCATTCAGCTTTCTACTAATACATTTTTTAAAAGACATAAAGAAATATTAACAATTTAAAAACCTTACCAAAAAATTAAAGAAAAACTTATCCAAATTACATTTTCGCACTTGTTGAGATCACTTTGAGTTAAAATATCGTTCCCAACTTCGTAATTTAGGGAATATCTATGGACTCCACGGCGGATAAAACGTGACTTGTCAGATACTGAATTTCATTGGCTGATTAAATTAGGTCACTAGAAGAAGTCACGTTTGTTTGGGCGTGCTCGATTTCAAATATCTTATAGGGTTTATTTCTATATACCGGGTGCGTCTTAAAAGTGGCTCACCCCTATAACTTTTTTATTTTTTCAGATAACAAATCGAGATTTGTTATATTAGTATCTACATCTACATATATAAAATGCTAATATTTATCTGTGTCGTCTCTACTGAAGTAACGACTTGCTCTAGAAAGTTGCTTTTTTACTAAAAGATAGCTAATTGGCTCTTCTAAAAACTGTCGTCGCCGGATTTTTTGTTTTTCATTTAATTAAAAAAAAATAAAAAAGTATTTTTTTCCTGATGTCGAGGCGGATGCGCCAGGCTTCAACTAGTATGACAGAAATTAGGATTGATTGACGTATGTAATTGTTTTCGGTCACTTCCTGTTTCATCGGAAATTACTACAATTTTTCATTTTTAAATGGCACCCTCGGTATTTTGTTACTTTATTCGATAGAAAATGACACTCTGAATAGAATGACATATGTCAACTTTTGACATTTTCGAATATGGTTTATTTGAAATTGCAACATGCGATTCATAACGAGAATTTGACTCGAAATACCAAGTGTGTGGTACCAAATTATTCGGAAAAAATACTTTTTCCAAATATGCTATTGAGCCACCCTCGTTCCGTTTGAAAAAATTGAGATATGATTAAAAATACGATTTGGGTATCTTTTAACTGGCCAGGACAAAACACTAAAATCATTAGACGATCAAATCTATTTTTCCAAGGCTCCTTGATAAAAATTAGTGTTTTTAACACAGCCATGGCAATCTAGATTGATATTTAAAATTCAATTTTGTTTTAAGCAAAAATGTCAAAAATTAACATATGATGTCATTCTATTCAAAATGTCATTTTCTATCGAGTAAGGTAACATTGTCATTTCCGGTGAAACAGAAAGTGACCGAAAACAATTGCATACATCAATCAATCCTAATTTATGTTATACACTAACATACCAAATCTCGTTTTTTTATCTGAAAAAATAAAAGAGTTATAGGGGGTGAGCCACTTTTGAGACGTACCCGGTATATCCCCGAATTGACTTTATAAGAGGAAAACATTTTTATTATGGATATTTGAGAAAAATGCATTCTTCATAAAATTTTTTGCTTGTTCTAAAATGGTTAATTCAGTTTTTATTTTTCCAAATTTCCATCCTGAGCGTCCATTAGAAGTTTCTAGAAAACTACAATATCTACTCGTAGGTCGGTGCTTTTTACACATTATTGTTTTACAACGAGATCTATCGATTAAAAATATTTTCAATACGACGGCGCTTCCGGAAATACCGGAAGAAGGGGTAGATGGGGAAGTGGAAACCGGCCCGGGAAAAATAGGCAACCGGCCCAAATCCACAAAAACAAAATGACAATAACGAAGAAACATATTTTATTTATTAATATATAGTAAGGGTGTTTTTCGCTCGTGCGAAAAAGCTCTTTTCCCTCCGGTTAAAAAAAATAAATTGTCTCGTAAAGATCAATATTGGGTCGGACATCTGAATATTTACTACAAAATGGCTCAGTTTTACAGGGTTCTACTCCTTTATTTCCATTATCGATAACGGTAGTTTGATCTTGAATAGGCTACGATTTTGAAAAACTTTAAGACTTCCTGATTCATTCAGTTCAGCTGACCCAATCCTCTGTAAAATACATTACTTTTAGCTTTTCGGGTATATACTTTCTGACACATTGTAGAAAGAAATTCTCTCTTTCACAGCCTCCTCGTGTACACGTGTTTTTAACTGAATGAACCGCGGTCGCCATTAAAACTGCAACATTTTTTAGGTTTATAGTTCTTATCACTGAACTTTTCCTGTATACTTTTCTACATTTGACATCTTGTATGATAATGCCATGACTCAAACGAAAAAAACCTAGGCAGTGGATATAAATGTGTTCTGATGCTGATGTAATGCTATGTTACAGTCCACAGTCCATAATAAGAATATTTGGATTTTCGAGACATATTAATATGTTATTATCTAATCTAGTTTAGACCTTATTTAACTCTTCTCTGCTGTCTCAGTAACTTTTAGCAAATTCATTTTAGCAACATTTTAAACAACAATTTAGACTTGGCTTGTAGTTCTCAGACTTGGCTTTTAGTCCGTCCCCAATTCAAGCCAAACATAGATGTTTTCTCCGTCAACCGCAGAGTTCGCGTCATATTCGTCTACCTTTTTACAAAGGGGAGCTCGAAAAATATTGCACCGAGGCCCCCAGTTGTCAATCTACGCTACCGTATTCTTAGTATACAGTTAGATCGAGACTATTTAAATTTACCTAATGCTATTCATTCTTTTTTTGCTGTCAGTCAGTCATATTTACTAGTTATTAATAAAAGAATAGTGGGTAAAACTATACAGGGTGAGTCTTAAATAAGTGCAAATATTTTCAGGGGTGGTATATTTCGACCCCAGGAACACGTCTATGAGGTTTTTTTTGCAAAAAAAGATAAAAATCGAGCATTTTCTTTTAAATTTTCCTGTATATTTTAAAAAAAATTTTAGAACTTCCTGTTCACCGCACATTTTCCCACGGTATAGTTTCTTAATCTCTGATATTACTGCACTAAAAGAGATGCAAATACCGAAAAATTGAGGTGGCTCAAATTTTTTTAAAAATAAATATTTTTTTTTAATTTCCAAACTTTAATAACCTATTGATAATTGGACTTATTTGAAACTCGATAAAGAGAATATATTATGTTTATTTTATTGACATCTACCAGCCCTGAAAATATTTGCACTTATAGACTCACCTTGTATAATAAAACATTTCAAACCGAACAAACAACAGATGATTATTAAAATTATGAGTGTCCCAGAGAAAGACATTTTACAATAGTTATTTTACAAATTGGTGTTTATGTTTAAAAACAACTGACGATTATGCATATGTTGGATTTTGTATTATGTTTATCTGTCACGCCACTGATCACATTTAATAATTTATTTGAGTACACCACTGTACACATTTTTTGACATAAGTCATTCTTGATAGGTTCTTGGTAGACGATAAAAACACACGGTGACGAATTACCTTATATTTATAAAATCAGTGTAAATAGTGTTAGTTTGTAATACCCAAATAAATAATACAGTCCACTAGAAGAGAAGTTTAATTAGTACCATAACCAGCGCAAAAGATACAACATAATTTTTGGTCCAAACGAGCCGGATTTCAAGGTACAATTCAGTTATCAATCCAGTTATTTCCGGATCAGATCAAGGACGACGCCGTGCAGCCGTGCGACGCCGCATTAGCAAGTATTCTACCCACAATACACGAAGAAAATCGTATCCTTACCTGGCGCATTCGCCATATATCAACATATTCTCGCCATCTTAATTGCCTTGCGCAGTCACCATTTTTAAGAATATACAGATATCAAGTTTGGTTCCGGCGCATTCGGCAGATTCAAGAAACTGAAAAATATCCATTTCATCATTTTGTCCGCAAGCAGACCATTTACCATATATTATCAAGCATATCATCAATCAGTCATCATATTATCAAGAAGTGATCAAAGTCATTCACCACATTCATCATCATTCATCATTTCTGCATTACATCAAGTTCGTCACCAACAACCAACATCAGCTCAAGCACTCTACCAAGCAGCTCAAGCAACATAAACCAACCAAAAGCAAGCACATACATGTAAGTCACTTCCTTTATTTCTCCTTAACATTCTCATTCCTTTAACATTCTCAATTCTAGTTATCAGTCTATTAAAACAATAACAAACAATAATCATAATATAAAAACCTAATCATATCAATACGTATAAACATATCATACAAAATTAATCATTTTACATTTCAATCATGTCAGAACTAAAGAAATTGAAAGCTAAGCGTACCAGCCTGTTCAATCAACTGGAGCGTCTTAAAGAATTTGTTATCAGCTATACTGATAGCAGCGCATCTCAACTTCCAGAACGCATCAAGCGGGGTGAAGAGCTTTGGGATTTATTTGACACTGTACAATTTGATATTGAAACTTCAGACAAGTCAGATATACAAGTAAACGAGCGCGTAAGATTTGAAGACATTTATTTTAACGTTATATCTCAAGCGAAAAGTTTAATTCCAACTCATGCTGCTGATGTCACTAATACTGCAAATTCTGATTTACTTACTGATCAATCATTTCAAAATTCAAACAACATAAAGTTGCCTGCAATTGAACTCCCCAAATTTGGAGGGTCTTATGAGGATTGGTGGCAATTTTATGAAACGTTTAATTCTTTAGTTCATAGTAATCAAACTTTAAATGATATTCAGCGTTTTTACTATTTAAAATCATATTTAAAAGATGAAGCAGCAGATGTAATTCATTCACTTGAGGTCACCTCCTCAAATTACATGGTAGCTTGGAATCTTCTGAGGGAACGTTTTGAAAATAAGCGTTTAATCATTCATAGTCATGTGCGATCTTTATTTGAATTAAGTCCGTTGGATAAGGAATCAGTAACAGGTTTAAAAAGAATGCTGAATGATATTCGAAAGAACTTGAGAGCTCTAAAAGCGTTGAAACAACCGACAGATCAATGGGGTACATTGTTAATACATTTAATTTCAGCTAAGCTAGACGCAACGACAAAACGCGAATGGGAATCGCATAGTCTTACCATAAAGACAGATTTACCTGATATGAATGATTTTTTGAGCTTTCTTTCAGATAGATGTCAGCTATTAGAGACGCTAGAGAGCAAGCTAGACAAAATAGACACAAAACAAGGCAACAAGCCACGCATTTCAACAAAGTCAGGAGGACATGCAATGGTGGCAAACATCAATCAACTCATATGTACTTTTTGTAAAGGCAATCATACTATTAACAACTGTGAGTCATTTTTATCAAAGCCTGTGTCCACGCGTATCAACGACATAAAGGCACTACATCTGTGTTTAAACTGTCTAAGATCGAATCATAGTCTTGAAAATTGCAGAGCAGGAACGTGCAAAAAGTGCGGAAGGCGTCATAACACACTGTTACATATTGAACGTCAACTGCAATCAGGTAGTTCATCGAACAATCGTTCAGATCACAATCATCATACCAACAGGTCAAATTCCCAACACAACACTCAAAATAGATCAGGATCATCTAGAGGAATTGAAAGTTATACCAGTCAACAAAATCAGATAACCATATCAGGTTATGAAAACAACGGAGACAGGGAGGTTCTGTTATCTACTGCTATCGTAGACATCATGGATTCAGCTGGTAAATATCATAAAGCCAGAGCGTTACTCGATTCAGGATCGCAATCATGTTTTATTTCTTCATCACTTGCAGATAAACTACAGTTACAGAGAACACCTGTGAACGTACCAGTCTCTGGAATTAACCAAATTAGCACATTTATAACAAATAGAGTATCAGCAATTATACAATCACGATTCAATAATTTTTCTGTTAAACAATCATTTTTAGTTCTAGACAATATAACAAATTATATTCCATCAGTTAGTTTTAGCAAATCTAGATTTGAAATTCCGAACAACATACAACTAGCAGATGAAAACTTTAACATAGCCAGTACAGTTGATTTATTATTAGGCGCTGAAGTATTTTATGAACTTCTTTGTGAAGACAGGATTAATTCTAAACCAAACTCACCTATCTGGCAGAAAACGAAGCTAGGATGGCTAGTTGCAGGATCAATACCAGAGAGGCAAAGAAATAAGATCATATGTAATCTAGCAACTAATGATATCAACAAAGAAATTCAATCACAACTACAGAAATTTTGGGAAATCGAAAATTATCCCGAAAGAACCACATCATACACAAAGGAAGAGCAGTATTGCGAAGATTTGTTCTCTGAAACCACAGAAAGAAATTGTAAAGGACATTTTATTGTAGAGTTACCTTTTAATCATAAAAAACATGATCTAGGTGAATCAAAAGAGATAGCACTAAAGAGATTTAGTCAAATTGAGGGACGATTTAAGACAAACTCTGAATTTCAAGAGCAATATCATAATTTCATGAAAGAATATGAGGATTTAGGCCACATGTCCTTAATCGACCAAGAAGATGATGAAAACTTAAATTTTATTCCACATCATGCTGTACAGAAAGACACCAATAAGTTTAGAATAGTATTTGACGGATCGGCAAAAACATCTAATGGTATTTCTCTCAATGATATTCTCATGGTAGGACCTAAAGTCCAAAGAGATTTATTTGATATTGTTTTACGATTTCGACAGTATAAATTTGTATTAACTGCAGACATAGTCAAGATGTACAGACAAGTATATGTCAAACCAGAACATAGAAAATTTCAGTGCATTGTGTGGAGATACAATAAGTCAGATCAGATACAAACATATAAACTCAATACTGTAACATATGGAACAGGTTCTGCACCTTTTCTGGCAGTGCGATCACTACACCAACTTGGGATTGAAAACGAAGTTAAATACCCAACTGCCAGTAATATCATTAAAAATGATTTTTATGTCGACGATGTTCTTACAGGATCAAACAGCCTACTGGAATTGTCTCAGACAAAACAAGAACTTGAACAAATTTTACAATCAGGTGGATTCACATTGTCAAAGTGGAAATCAAATCATTCCTCACTTATTGAAGAACATGACACAGGTGAGAAAACAATCTCTGATAAAATTCAGAAAACTTTAGGTATAATCTGGGATGCCACCTCAGATACCTTACAATATTCATTCAATCAAACAAATACGAACAATCGGATCACTAAGCGAACTATTCTATCAATGGTATCGAAAATTTATGACCCTATGGGATTGATAGGACCAGTTACAGCAAGAGCAAAGAGTTTTTTACAGCAACTGTGGTTATTATCCTTATCATGGGATGATGAAATTCCTGCAACACTGAATCAAGAATGGTCTCACTATAGCACACAACTATGCGAAATCACTAATATCAAAATTCACAGACAAACAATTTGCAGCAATCCAGTTAAGATTGAGCTACATGGGTTCAGTGATGCTAGTGAAAAAATATACCGAGCAACAATTTATATTCGATCAACCAATCAAACAGGTCAACATACCATTAATCTTATTTCAGCAAAATCAAAAGTAGCACCAATAAAAACGCAAACAATACCTAGGCTTGAACTTTGTGGTGCATTAATATTATCAAGATTAATGCAGTCTGTTTTAAGTTGTTTATCGGTGCATATTGATAAAATCTACTACTGGACAGATTCATCAATAGTTTTAGCTTGGTTAGAATTGGAACCTTGTAACTTGCAAGTGTTTGTAGCAAACCGTATTAGAGAAATACAAGAAATCACAGAAAATACTAAAGGTGTATGGAATCATGTGTCAACAGAGTGTAACCCAGCAGATATTATATCCCGTGGTGCAACACCGTACGAACTGAGTCATTCAGAACTATGGTGGTATGGACCAAAGTGGTTGAGAGAGAATTTCGATACATGGCCTTCAACACACACTCAACTCGCCACAGAAGAAATTCCTGACAAGAAAAAGCCATCAATAGTATGTTTTAGCAAGCAGTTAGACACCACTTTATTAACAAGATTTTCATCACTTATGAAACTCCAAAGAGTCACAGCATACATTTTCCGATTTAAACATAATATATCAAAAACAACTATCAAGCTAACCGGAGAACTAACTGTTGCTGAGCTACAGAATAGTTTATGGTTCTTATTAAAACTTGTGCAGCAAGAATGTTTTGCAGCAGAACTACATGCATTACAGAATGGCAGATGTATTCCCAAACAAAGCAAACTACTAAGCTTAAACCCATTCTTAGATAACAACAATATTATCCGAGTAGGAGGAAGATTAAAACATGCCAAAGATATTATCTATGAACAAAGACATCCGATAATCCTTCCGGGTAAACATCATTTTACTAAGCTTATTATCAGACATGAACATTATAAAATGCTTCATGCAGGAACTCAAACCCTATTAGCTACTATCAGAACGAGGTATTGGCCTTTATCAGCAAAAAACACTATTAAAGGCATACTAAGAACATGTATTGTTTGTTTTAAACAAAAGGCCAACAATGTAACACCTATAATGGGTAACTTGCCTATACACCGAGTTACGCCATCAAGACCTTTTCAGAATTGTGGAGTGGATTATGCGGGTCCATTTAACATAAAACTACATAAATACCGCGGTAATCGAACAGTCAAGGGTTACTTATGCATATTTATATGTTTTTCAACAAAAGCTTGTCATTTAGAATTGGTAAGTGACCTCAGCAGCGAATGTTTTTTAAACTGTTTAAAGCGTTTTATATCCAGACGTGGAAAACCTACCAATATCTATAGCGACAACGGCACAAATTTCGTCGGTGCTCAAAATAACTTACAAGAATTTTTTAACTTTATTAAATCAAGACCTGTTCATACCTCATATACAGATTACTTAACTTCTGAATTTGTACAGTGGCATTTTATTCCTGCACGATCGCCTCACTTTGGTGGGTTGTGGGAAGCTGCAGTCCGTACTGCTAAATATCATATTAAACGAGTTCTAGGTAATTTAAATTTAACGTTCGAAGATTTTTCTACAATCACTTGTCAGATAGAAGCATGTATGAACTCACGACCTATTCATCCTTTGTCAAATGATCCTTGCGATTTTTCCGCACTGACTCCTGGACACTTCCTAATTGGTTCCCCCCTTTCTTCCCTACCCGAGAGTGACTTACGGGACACACCAACAAATAGATTATCAAAGTATCAGCAGTTTGCCCAGGTGCTCCAACATTTCTGGACCAGATGGTCAAAAGAATATATTTCCACACTCCAAGAACGGGGCAAGTGGAGAATCAACCAAAATCATCAACTGAGCATTGGATCTCTGGTTCTACTGAAAGAGGACAACCTTCCCCCTCTCAGATGGAGGTTGGGGAGAATAGCACTGCTTCATCCAGGGTCTGATGGTGTCGTGCGCGTTGTGACGGCGCACATCGTCTGGTGAAGTGAAGAGATCAGTGACAAAAGTTTGTGTCCTACCAGTGGAAAAGGATGGAAGAGAGTTGTGACCGCATAATGACATTATATTAATCTGAATGTTTATTTCGTGCTTATTATCACACCATATATGTTTTTTAAATCATGTTTTTCTTAATGTTCATTGTTTAACTTAATGTTCATTGTTTTCCTTTTTTGTTTAACTATCTAAGATAGTTCAAGGCGGGCGGTATGTTGGATTTTGTATTATGTTTATCTGTCACGCCACTGATCACATTTAATAATTTATTTGAGTACACCACTGTACACATTTTTTGACATAAGTCATTCTTGATAGGTTCTTGGTAGACGATAAAAGCACACGGTGACGAATTACCTTATATTTATAAAATCAGTGTAAATAGTGTTAGTTTGTAATACCCAAATAAATAATACAGTCCACTAGAAGAGAAGTTTAATTAGTACCATAACCAGCGCAAAAGATACAACAGCATATTTGGAATATGTACAGGGTGGGTCAAATTCGACGCTTTTAAATGGAAACACCCTTTTCTATAGGAGATAGACGAAAACTAATATCGGTGTCTGGAGCTCAATTTTCATCAAAAACATGATGGTGAAAACCGCACATCAATTCTGTTACCGTTTCGGAGTTACGGGGTGTTTTTCAAAAATATGCATTTTTAACAAATCGCTGTAACTTTTTTGCTATGGAAAATTATGTATTTTTATGAAAACATTTCCAAAGCACCTTTTTACGTAGAATTTAATGGTTTAAGTATAATTTTTTTAAAATTAATAATTTAAGAATTATCAACAGAAAATTTAATTTTTTATATGGGACACCCTGTATATTTTTAATCTATTGAAAATAATTTAAAATTACCTTTCCAAAAATATAGCATACTTGATATCTTGCTCGATTCCTCTTCCAGATATAGAGTATATAAAAATTCGCCCGCTTTAAATAAGTAGGCTTTGAAAGGCACCGGCTGTAATGCAAAAAAATTTTAGCTGTGAGCATCAATTAAAACGAATATTAAACGAAATAATATTTGCTATGAGAGATGCAGAATTTTATAACCATTTAAAATATATTTAACCAACATCAACACATTTAAACTATATCTAATAACAATAAAAATAAATAGCAAACCAAGACACGAGATTTTGCTACAGGTGTTCGACATATCGACCGTCTTCTGTTATGGACAGATGGGGCAGTTTTTGAGCATTTCTCGCGGAATTCTTTAACTCATTGGGGGTGAAAGATACCCTCTCATAACTGCTAAGTATTTCTAATTCTTGTCTAGATTATACGGAAGAATAAGGAACCTTTATTCTTCCGCAAATATATCCATAGGATTAGATCCATGGGCACTAAGTCAGGCGGCGTCGACGGCCAACGGCTGGGATCTTGGTTAGCTATTCAATTATTCTTGAAATTGGCTGCAAAAATTTGCTGATAACTGCAGCGTTCAGAGGCGGTGCGTCGTCTTGCTGGAAAAATATGTTTTCGAGTTCCATTAAGGGCATATCATCAATAAGAGGTCCAAAGCCTACTAGTTAACAGTGGCAAACTTTTAAAATTTCTGTATTTCGAAGGGGATTATAACAAAATATCAAGTGTGATATATTTTTGGAAAGGTAATTTTAAATTCTTTTCAGTTTATTAAAAATATAGAGGGTGTCCCAAATAAAATATCAATTTTTCTACTGATAACTCTTAAATTATTAATTTTAAAAAAATTATACTTACACCATTAAATTTTACGTAAAATGGTGCTTTGAAAATGTTTTCATAGATATACAAAATTTTCCATAGCAAAAAAGTTACAGCGATTTGTTAAAAATGCACATTTTGAAAAACACCCCGTAACACCGAAACGGTAACAGATATTGATGTGCGGTTTTTACCATCATGTTTTTGACGAAAATTGAGCTCCAGACACCGATATTAGTTTTCGTCTATCTCCTATAGAAAAGGGTGTTTCCATTTAAAAGCGTCGAATTTGACTCACCCCGTACCTTACCACAACGTCTTTCATGTTGAGTTCGTGTATGTTATCAAAAACAAAAAATGCACAGTATACTTCATTAAAGTATACCTTTGCTTAACATTTGGGACCGGTGGGCATCGGGTATTTTTTCAATTGCAGGTTTTTGCGCGCGTAGGCATTTTAAAACATACCCGATCGCAACATTCCACCACGTAGATGTAGAGGCTTTGGGTTGCAGATGGTTGCAGACCACAACGTTGACATTACGAACAGACAATCAATTATGATAAAATTCCGTAATATTTTGTTTGTAACTGATGCGGAAGAAGCGGTCAAATTGTATGACGAATTAACCAGTGACTAGTATGTTCAGAGAATATCAGCTCTCATGAATCATTTGAGTAATTTATGGAAACGACGGCATGAATGGTGCGTTTGTTATAGGTTGAATTTACTTACTCGAGGAAACAATACAAACAACATTACGGAAGCATCTATACGCATTCTTAAAGACTTGGTACTCCAGCGATGTAAAGCGTTTAATGCATGCGCGTTGGTAGATTTCATTACGTCCATTTTTGAAAATTATTTTCACAGGCTCTTATGCAAATACGCGAAAGACCAAAGACTCCAAATACACAATGTTCCTGAAGAGTTCTGTAAAAGTTAGGAATATTTCTAAAATTAAGGATTTTGAGTACAGTGTGGAATCAGTGACCAGTCCAAATACTTTTTACAGGGTCAGGATCGATGTAGCCATTTACGACTGTGAGGCTGGAAAATGTGAAAGATTTTGCAAACACCTATGTGGCATTGAACAAAAGTTCAGGGTAGTATTTCCCAATTCTCCTCGTCTATCTATATAGGATAGAATGTTACTAGCAAGAGTTGCAACGGGGGATGATATCAATGAAGCTTTTTTCATGAATATGAAATTAGATGAAACACAGGACAATGATTTGGGCACTCCACAGTGCTCTTTCATACAAGAACCATCGCTGCAGCAAATACAGCATGATACCAAGCCTTCGTCATGTTCACAAGAAATTACTATAAAATTTCCGGACCAATACAAAAATGTAGTTGCAGAGTTCAAAACTGAAATTCGACGCTTCACACACTTGTTTGAAATGAATCCCACTTTTCACAATCTAAGAGCTCTTACAATATTTACAAAAATAATTAAAAAAATAAATACATCAGAGCAAAGACAAAATGTTATTTTACAACAAATAAAAACAAGACATGGGCTAAGAAAAATTAAAGTTCAAAGCACAGCACTGAGCCGACGTAAAAACAGAGGGATAGTAAAAACCAAATCTAGGATTCAATGTGAGCGGCCATCTAACACAGAACGAAGAACTCTTGGAAAATCTACAAGTAAGAAACGGAAGCATAACCTAGGACAGAATATTGAAATGAATGTCCCTAATGCACGCTAAATTGAAATTAGGTTTTATTTAGGTTAAAACTTGTTTGTGTTCTTTTAGTTTTTATTTCATATTATAAAAATTTCTTTTGTAAAAACGCTTCTTTATTATCCTCATGTCAACTTTCTCTTTTTTCTCTTATCCTTATAATTTCTCGATCTACCTCTATAGCGTAATAGCAACTCTGAAGTCACAAGCGGGTGTATTATAGTAGTTCAGAATAATTGCACAATGCTCTGCTTGAAATTATACCCCACAAAAATGTTGCAATAAGGTATATTTTGAAAACCTATCCGCGGCATTGCATATTTTTATTGTATACACAAACTCAACACGAAGGGACGTTGTGGTAAGGTATATATTCCAAATATGCGACGATTATACTGACGCAAATTGATTAGTTAGTTATGGAGTCACTAAGAATCTTACGTCACTTTAGTTAGAAGATTAACCTTTTAATTTTTGCTAATCCAATCTTTTTTGAGCTCTGATCGGGACCGGCCCACCGGGAATTTTCCCGTTTTCCCATATGGCCCATCTACCCCTGCCGGAAGATTACAACAACTTTCTTATTTAAATGGTTACCCCTGTTTTTTAATACTCCAAAAAAAATCTTAAATTCTTCCTTAAATTCTCTGTAAAATTTTATGAATTTTGATATTAAACACTCTTGTAATGTATCAAACACCGTTTTTGAGAAAGAAATATTTAAAATTTTTGGACGAAAAAAACTGCCTGTGAAAGAAATTTATGTAGCCTAAACGTGAAATTTAATTTGTGTCACAGTCACCATAAAATAATAAATACAAGAAGAAGTGTCAAGTCAATGTTAAATTATGGAAACAGCGTGGCTGCCTGGGTAACTAATTTTCAGATATGGCGGCTGGGACATTTGACATGACATAGACATGACAATTTCAATTTTATGAAATTTATTTCCGTTTCCGGTTTTTAATGGCGGGCTGTTCAGGAGGTTTAAATGAGGGTTAATATACTTTTTACTCTTTCTAGTAGTAAATAATACAACAAAATTACTCAAAAATATTTATTTGGAATTTAGAACAATGTAAATATGCAAATCAACACAATTAAAGAGCTATAAACACATAAACAACTGTATCAATATCAAAATATTTAAATAACATCAGAGATGCTGTGTTAAAGTGAATTAGTAAAGTAACAGTGCACTGACTTACAGAAACTTGAAGATAAATAAATGTTTTCACAGCTTCACGGGCGTAAAACTAACTAACTGGAAGCAGGAAAAAGACAACAGGAACCCACGCAAAACCTGGAACCTAAAAAAATATGTAAAAAACATAAATATAGGTACATAAGACTTTTGTGAATTAAATCAAACAGGACTTGAATGAAAATAAAATGAATAAAAAATATGATACATAATACATCTAATACCTCATTTGTATTTTAAAAATAATCTACAAAAAAAAAATCTACATACATAGCATTATTGCTATGAAAATACATAATAGGTACCTATGTGATATGTAATTACGCATTTCTGTTCATCTTGTAGATAATTAATGTAGGCTAATAATATTTCAATAATCATAATT